TAATTTTTACAAACTTGTAGAATTAATTTAAAAAAAAAATTTATTAAATTTGATCAAGTTTTTGTTAAGTTATTTTTTATTTAAAGTTTCTAAAAAACTTATTAAAAAAAATTTGCTTGGTTTCTATTGACTCAACCCCATATATAGATTGGATGTCTCTTGCTGTCCCGCACTGTATAAAAAAATTTGTATAATTACTGTATTTTGTATAACCAAAAATTATTTTTGATATCTCAATAACTGTCTTATCAAATTGAATAAAAAAAAAAAAACTTCAACATACTGTACTAATATTTAAAATTTTTAATTTTAAAATTTGTTGCTTTATTAATTTTTAATTATAGCAATTTTTTTTTAAATTTTATCAAATTTTAGATAAGACCCATGGGTTTCATCTAAAATTGATGTAGTGATTATAAAATTTAAAAAAATTTGCATAAACTATACTTTCAATATACTATTTAATTTTAAAGTTTCAAAGCTATAATTTTGAAATTAAAAAAATTAAGAGGGTGTAGAGGGGAGTAGGGAGAGTGGGGGTAACTAACTTTTAACCAGCGTACTAACATATCCTGATGTGAAACTAATTAGACCTTTAGCCCGAAGAAATTGACCGCCCAAATTAAAGCGAAAGGTCTATGGAACATGTACAGTTCATGTGACATTTTACATACTAAGATGGATTTTTTGGTATTACTGTAAAAATCATAGTTTGAAAATCTAATTACGGATCAAATTTGTCCCGGTTTATTTTTGTCTAATAAATTTAATAACCTCGTACGAGAGTCTAAATCAAGTATGACAAGTACAATCACGAATAAAAATTTTGATTTTAAATTTCTGATAACTAACCTTCTTTGTGCACTAGTTTTTTGCCCAGATTTTAGCGTTAATTAAAATTACTTGTTTACTTACTCAGATATCTAGTTTCAACATCGGATAGATAGCTTTTTATTTGTCTAATTGATATATACCGATACTGTATAAGTATAGCAATAATACATTAAAATTAACGAGATCCGTGCTCAACTATTTCAAAGCTGGCAAGTTTAAATGTATCAGAAACCTATCCTATCACTCATGAATTTAGTAAAATTTTTGATTATCGTAAGATATTTACGCACCAGGGTATTGTACTGTACACGTTATACGTAACACATCGTTATAACGTGCAGTTGTCCGATTATACTTAGATAAAATTGCATATAAGGACCCAAGAAACCAAGATTTCAAACTACGATGTTGTGATACAAACACATTACTCGCACTCTAGAATTCTAGAATTCAAAGCGTTACTGAATTTTACTTTCATTTTAAGCCTCTGCTTTATTCTTTGTTTTATCCCAAAGAAAAAGGCTTGCGCTTCCTTTTGGATTTACAAATACGCTGATCTTGAACTTCCTACTTACCTCTTCTCCCGATTATTAACTTTTCTACCAACATCAAACGTGTATGCCTTCTTCACAACTTCCCTTTTACCCTGTGAAAAAAATAAATAAATAGAGTTTTTAACACTTTACGGCAACAGTTATTCATCTGACTTACAGTCTGAATTACCTTAGCGATGGTTAAACTAAGGGTGGAAGGAACAAAACCAATTCAACGAACGATAAAATTCTTTTTTTATGTTTACATAATATTATCTGCTATATACACTTTAGGTTACATATGTCGTGTGTATACTAATAAAGATGGCTTAACTAGAATAAAACCTCGGAATGAGCCTGTGCTAGAAATATCTTCTATTAAATGGGGTCAAGACAAATTATCTTGGGAATCAAATAGTGGTATGTTGGACCAATTGATTCAACATAATTTATGATAACATCATAATGTAAATAGATTAAATACGGTTAATTAAGAATATATTAATATATTTATATATATATATATTTTTATAAATAGGTATAAATGATTCCATGACAGAAGAATTTTTCTTATCCAAAGTTTTTTCCGAAGCTATGCAACCTTCACATGTGATTCCATATTATTTTCGTGCTGATGATCCACCTGAAGAAGAAGATATAACTATTACCACGTTAATCACGTCTAATCGCTTTTCAGTTTTTGATAAGCTCGTCTCACATTATCAAGGTAAAATAGAATATATATATATATTATATATATATATTTCTTATCTTTTTTAATTTGTTTTATACTCTAATCATTTACTCACTTTTTTCTCATAAAACTTTTGACAAGGTCCAATTTCTGTAACGATACATGTTAGTGATGACGAAGAGACACGTGACGAACTTCTTAATTCTCTTAATAACTTATACAATAGTAATCCATATATGAAAAAATATGTCGATGTTCATCTTGTCGTTGATAGATTTGAACGTCAATTTAACATGTGGCGTAATGTTGCAAAGTTTTTTGCTCGAACAAATTATGTAATGATGTTGGACGTTGATTTTCATCCTTGCACAAATTTCCGCCAAAAAATATTAAGAAGTCCCAGAATCATGAAAATGCTTCGAGCTGGAAATACTGCTTTAGTCATTCCTGCTTTTGAATATGCTGATTTGAATGAAGGTCTTAATCATAGTACTTTTCCAACTACTAAAAAGGATGCTTTAAAGTTAATTGACTCAAACCGATTAGTCATGTTCCATGCTTCGTGGAAACCTGGCCATGGTTCCTCGAATTACGATGCATGGCATCATACAAATGTGCTATATAAGGTTACGCATTATCAATACCAATATGAACCTTACGTTATATTTCCGAAGAATAGCGCATGGTATCGTATCTGTTTATTTCATTATTATTACTGTTATTATATTGGATTTTAATAAATCAATTTTATTTCTATTTTATGCTTTATTATTTTAGGTGTGATGAACGATTTGTTGGTTATGGTGCAAATAAAGCTGCATGTCTTTTTGAATTATATCTTTCTGGTGTTAACTATTGGGTACTTCCTGAAGACTTCTTAATTCATCAAACACACGAATATCTAGAAACTGCAAGAAAGCATGAGGTAAACTTTTGATATCAAGAATTTTACAGTAATGAAATATATATATATATTATTAAAATACTTATTTAAATTTACAAAATTACAGCGAATGTTCAACAGAAGGCTTTATGATAATTTTCGAGAAGAAATTTGCTTCAGATATGCTAGAAATTTTATTTTAAATAATGAATGGAATACACCAAAATCTAGAAATCTTAGAGAAGCCTGTCATAAGATTCGGGGATTCACTCAAGCAATTAAATTTTACAAAGAAAGCATTTCTTAGCATTTAATCAAGTATAAAAAATTTAACTCCAATGGACAATTTGATCTTAATTATTATATTGACTATTTTTATTTATAAGTGTCATGTCTACGCATTTTATTAATTCTTTATATAGATATATAATATTTTCTTATGTTTATAGTTTGTTTTTTTTTGTTTTTTTTTTTAATAGATATAAATTTACCCTCCTAATTGATTCAGGAAATTTCGGGAGTTGTGAAAAAAACTAATTAAAAGTATATACTTTAAAATATAATACGTATTTAATGCATCATAATTTATGCTGTGTGAATCGAACTACATAAGTGGTAATAATTATTAATTACATTCAGTAAATAGAGTCAATGCGATAATTCTAGATTTTTTAAATATCATCAAATTTGGTCATTGCATTGAACAGTTGAATAGTAAATTTTGTAATAATGCATGCATTATGCACTTTTTGTTTTCATAAACGGCAATCAAGTGAGTTTTAAATTTTGGTTTAATAAGGGTCCTTAAGTTACATGAAAACATAATACATTTAGATCCATGCAGAATTAAATTGATTGGATAAGCTTATTCATTCAGAGGAAAAAATTCAGGATCTAAATGTATTATGTTTTAATGTGATTTAAGCCAAATTAAACATTTTTTTATTAAGATGTTATTTTTAAAATTATAATAAAGTTGTAGAATAGATTTTTCTGATTCTAAAGGTAGTAAAATCATTAATATTCGCTGAATAATACTGTATATGCATTTAGAAGAATTTTTAAACTCATATATATGATGATCATATAATATAACCAATTAAATTACCGATTTTGTATAACCACAGCAAACTTTAGGTAGTATATAATACATCCTTTTTCATCCTAACTAAATGCTACTCTTAAAGGGCTGTTAGAACTACTTCATTATTCGGCTAAACTAACATTGCCATTGCCATTTTCATAACAATGGAATGATCATTAGTTAAAATTTTCAATTGTTCCAAATTTAAGAACAGCTGCAATAAAATAAACCCATCACATAGTATTTTCATTCCTGGTAAATTATTTTGTTATCATTACAGCTGTTTTCATGTTCTCTAAATCATTTTATAGCGCCCTCATAAATTTTAGTACAATTGACTGTTATTTATGCGTAATGCATATTTATTTATTACCGATACTAGCCAAATATATTTCAATGCATATTCATATAATTAACGTTAATTTAAACTTGCCAATTTGAGTAATAACCAAAGGATTTTCCCGACGGCCATTCTTTCCTCTATAAGCCATTTACCCGACATCACTCAGGGTGACAATGCAGTATGTGAATTCGCAACCAATCAAATGTTAACTCTAACGTGTAGAGGAAATGAATGTCAGAAAATGAGCGGTTACTTTAGCAAACTTTTTGGGTTGAATTCTCATGCAATGTTATAGGGGTCTACAGCCCGGGCTCATTCTCGTGCCCAGCAAAAGGCACAGGCATAGGCATGGGTATAGGCATGAAAACTTAGGCATGAGCATGGGCATCATCACGAAGTACATTTTTATAAAACTTACGTAGTTCTATAAAGTTATATAAAAGTTATATAACTTAATATAATATTTATGTATGGTTCATTTATTATTTATAAATATAAAATTTATGTAAATTTTATTTATATCTATATACTGTATATACAGTGGATTTTACCTAAAGCCAACATATTTATAGGCGCCAATTTTTTAGCCACAGCGTAACCTAATTGTCCAATAAAAATGCAAAAAAGCTTAATCCAATTTTAAATTTTATTAATAAAATTTAACAGTCAAGGAACATATCCAACTGAATGCAATTACTTATAAATCAAATGAGTTGACTTACCCAATTTTATATATATGTAAATTTATACAAAAAAATATTTAAATTGAATTTATTTAATATAAATCTTCTTTAAATAAGTAGAGGGCTGAGAATCTTTCTTTAAAGTTGATTAATTCTTTACTATGTTCTTTAAGTTAAATAATTAACTCACTCTATTTAATAATATGATTGGTTAAAATAGTCTTTTAAAAATTAAAAAAGGTTTTACTATACTAAGTAGAGAAGGATTTTTTGATTCTAATAGTGGTTAGATTATCAAAATTGGCTTAGTAAATTTCAAGATACTTGGATTTATAAATTTTTTATTTTTTATTTTTTTTTTTTATTAATGTTAATGTCATATATAGAAAAGCGAATAACTTTTACAAAGTATCACATAAATACATAATAGTTAATCAGATAGATTTTCTATAAACATCTAATTTGATGTGACATTA